CAAAACAAAATAGGGGGCAGGGGCTCCTGGTACTTGAAACCTCAGAAAAGAAAGGATTTGTCCAGAGTTAAAAGGTCACATAAGCCTTGAGGTCCAGACTAGTTTGAAAACCCAGTTTTCTCCAAAGGGCCCTGGTAGCACAAGCCTTTAATCCCAGCACTTGGGAGGCAGAAGCAGGCAGATCTCTGTGAGTTTGAGGCCAGCCTGGTCTACAGAGTAAGTTCCAGGACAGCCAGGCCTACAAAGAGAAACCCTGTCTCCAAAAAAACAAAACAATCAAACAAACAAAAAGAAAAAAAAGTAGGTTTTCTGCTTCCTTATTTCATGTTTTAGGTAAGCCAGAGTCAGTCACTTAGTCTCTTTCCCTTTCACTCTTTCTTTCTCTCTTTTCTGTTTATTTTTTGAGACAGGGTTTCTCTTGTATTCCTGGCTGTCCTGGACTTGATTTTTAGATCAGGCTGACCTCAAACTCAGAGATACGCCTGCCTCTTCTTCCCAAGTGCTGGGATTAAAGGTGTGCACCATGACACCTAGCATGCACCCATTTTTTTCTTGACAGAGTCCAGAGTTGCTCAGGCTCGCCTTGAACTCATGATCATCCTGCTTCAGCCATAACACAGACTTCTAAATTACTTTCTGTCCATTTAGAGATACAGTCTTCCTGACTGCCACCCCAGAAGGTACCCAAAACTTAAGTCCTAAGGGATTCAGAAACCTGAGAGATGAGCCCTCACTTTCATGTGTGAGGTGCCCTAGTTTTGCCTTCCTTGCCTTTGCTATTCTTGCTGTCTGCCAACTCCCTTTTCTCCCTCCAGGTCTGCTTGGCTGTTGTCCTGGTTTCTCCTCAGTAAATATCTGGGCTTCTGATCATTTCCTTCATTTCCCAGATGTACCAGTTAACATTTCCCCCAGTTACATCCCTTCTGTTCTGTAGTTCAGATATCTAAACTCTGTAGGGGAGAGATTCTTTTTCTTTCTCTAGCATTCTTAAGTAAATAGACTATTTCCTGCTCATCACTTATGTGCAGTAAGTGTTTTGTTAGGTTTTGGTGTTCTAGTTAGGGAGCTATGCAAGAAGAAAGTAGAGAAATAGGTTTTTTAGCAAACAAAACAAAACAAAAAACAAACCACTAAATGAGCAATAGATGACTCTCATTTTACAGGTAAACCAAGGACACAGTCCTTATTGAGTGTAAGCATTGCTTTGTGAGGTGCTGTAGATAAAACCAAGGGCCTCATGCATGCTAGATAGGTGATCTTTCCCTGAGTTACATTCCTATCCCTTCCTACTTAATTGTGGGCCATGCTCTGAGGTGGAAGGGAAAGTTAGAAGCATTAATGAGAAGATAATTAGTAGATTCTGTGTTAGGGATAACGCAGGGCCCCATGAATGCAAGGCAAGCTCTCTACCTCTTCACAATGGCCCGGTCCTTTTATAAACACTCCTATACACAGCGAAGAATGCAGATTTATAAATTACATGCTTATAAGAGGAGAGAGAATTTTAGATAGTCATGTCACTATTTGTTTGGTTGGTTTTTTTTGAGACAGGGTTTCTCTGTGTAGCCCTGGTGGTCCTAGAACTCACTTTGTAGAGCAGGCTGGCCTTGAACTCATAAAAATCCACGTGCCTCTGCCTTAGGAGTGCTGGGATTAAAGACATGTGCCACCATGTCCAGCTAGATAGCCATGTTAAATTGCAGGTGAGACCCAACAAACCTCCATTCAGGTCATGAAAGTAGACTAGGTAAGAGAGTCTTTAATACTGATATAAGAACCCTCAGGAGTTCTATTTTCTTTCTTTTGCTTTTCTTGAATGGTCTTGATCCCACAGCATGTCTCTGCCTCCTGAGGACTGGGATTAAAGGCGGATACGGCCATGACCAGCCCTTTAGGAGTTCTTAAGATAGATTTTTTTTAAACTTATGTTTTTGTATTTTATCTGTGTGAGTGTTTGGCCTGCACATCATCACTTTCATGCCTAGTGTCCACGGAAGCCAGAAGAGGGCATTGGTCGCCCGCACTAGAATTACAGATAGCTGTGAGCTGCTGTATGTTAGTGTTGGGAATCTAAGCTGGGTCCCCTGGTAAAGCAACCAGTGCTCTTAGGCTGTAAAGCAAATCTTAAACAAACAAGCAAGCAAAAACAACGAAGGCCAGCCTGGTCTACAGATCAAGTTCTAGGACAGCCAAGGCTACAAAGAAAGCCCTGTCTCAAAAAACCAAAAACCCAAATGAAACTTTATTTACTTATCAGTATTAGTATTTGTGTAGGTGTGCACATGCCATGGACCAGTTGTTAGCAACCCCAGTCCCAGGGATCTGACACCTTCACACTAATGCACACACAATTAAAATTAAATAAATTATTAAAAAAAAGAAAATACAGATATTTACATTATGGTTCATACAGTAGCAAAGTTGGTTATGAGGTAGCAACAAAAATTATTTTATAGAGCCAGGTGTGGTGGTGCATGCCTGTAATCCCTGCAGTTGGGAAAGGCAGAGGCAAGCGGATTGCTGTGAGTTCAAGGCCAGCCTGGTCTACAAAGCGAGTCCAGGACAGCAAAGGCTACACAGGAAAACCGTGTCTTGGGGAAAAAAAAAAATTATGGTTAGAGGTCATCACATCATGAGGAATTGTATTAAAGGGGCAGATCAACAGGCGTTTCTGATCGTTCTTGCTCTCTGGATTACTTTTTCCCTTTCATACAAATGCAAAGTTTACCTGAATTTTCTTGCTTCACAGGGTGTAAGCCTGTATGTTTTCTATAGGCATGGACTTTTGGCAGCGTCGCTACACTTCCAGTATCCAGAGGCCCCCACCCCCACCCTAAGTGGAAACTGTACCCTAAAAGGCTTGAAAATCCACCCCCGGGAGCAGCTGGGTACCTTTCGACTCCTGCCGAAAACTTTCCCTCAGCCACGGTGTGAGCAATGGATGAGCAGATGGAAGGAAGGAGAGGAGGAGCTGCCTCTTGGGGCTTGGGGGTGGTGTTCAGCATAGTTCCACAATTGAACCAGCGGGGGAGCAGAGCTGAGAGGCAACTCTCGGGCTCTGGGGGAAATCTCCTATAGAGCGCAAGGAGGAAACATCCGGCCTATAGCAGCATTAAGGAGGCTTAATGTGTCTCAGGAGGGAAGGCTGCCATCACCATAGAACCTCTAAATATGGGCGCAGTGGGATCTCAGCAAAGCAGCGGCTTGGGGAAGATGCGTCCTACCCCAAACTTAACTTGTTTGTTAAGGTTTCGCTATGCGTGGTGCACTGACTCAAAGTCATTTTTGTACAAGAGGAAAGACAACTTTAATCCATGCTTAGTCCTACTACACTATCCCAGAACCACTCACATCTCATAAAGAACTGCTGAAGTCAAGCCTCGGACAGGTTTGTGGGTGGTCACTGTCCTGCACACGATAATTACAATATTCCTTCCCCCTGAGTACTCACAGTGGGTATGTTGCTAAGAAACACCATCGATGCTGGTCATTTCCCCCAAAGGGCTTCCGAAAGTCAAAAGGGTAACTATTATACTCACCCACCTCTGTTTAACAGATGAAGAAACTGAGGCATGGAGAAGCAAAACAAGCCAACCAAGTTTGTATAGCTAGCCAAGGGGAGCTGGGAGGAGTCAAGGTTTGTTCAAAAGCCAATCCTGAAATTATAGCTTCAGAACCCTTATGTATAATTTTATCGTGTTCCCCCCACCCCCCGCATATCAAGTGTTTGCTAAGCAAATGATTGGCGCCCCGAGCTGTACTTTCACTTTGTTGACACACATGCAGCCATACTGTTTAGTCCAAAACTGGCTTGAGTCTATGAATCACATGGACATCGATGCCTCTTCCTAGACCTAGCTCAGGCCTAGAGAATGAGTGCCACCAGCCTTAGAAATAAGCATCTGGGTACCTAAGCCTTTCTGCCAACTCTTCCTTCCGTTGTCTCTGAGGCACTGAACTATCAGTCCCAAATACCGTCCTCATTCTACCATGGCCTTTCACATGCTGGAGTATCCTAAGAATACAAGGGCCTTTCCATCCAGCTGTGCTGATGTGTGCCTGTAATCACAGCACACAGATGGCAGAGGCAGGAGGATCAGGAGTTCAAAGCCAGCTTGGCTACACAACCTATTCTCTTCTCCCAGAGGGATTTGTTGGTTAAAAGACACATACAGCATCTTAGCATAATGGTGCAGGTGCGGAAGCCTGAGCCAGGAGAATTGCCAAAAGTTCCAGGCCAGCCTGGACTCTATAGTGACTACGGGGCTTCATAAGGAGGTCGTCTCAAAAAACGAACATAAATAAACAGCAAGATCTTACACAGTGATAGTATATATTAGCAGGTAGGTTAACATGCACGTAAGTACTGTCTTTGCCTCCCTTAAAGCACAAACCTGAGTCCCTTTACAGAGTTGTGTTTCAGTCTTCCCTCGGGATAAGGAGGAGTACACCCCCAAGCTAGCCAGCATTCTGACCGACATTAGCTTTTCTCCCTCTGGGAGCTCTGTTCTCAGCTCAGCCCAACAATGAGAAACTTTATTCTCTTCTCCCTCAGGGGAACCTTTAGGTTTATCCAATTCATTCTGTTGCAACCCAACTCTCCAGAAAGAAGAGGGGGAAATCCCATCCCTAAGAGACGGGTCTTCAGGTCTGAGGACGTTACTTAGCAACGGCACAAAGACCAGTGAGCAAAGAAGGACTTGGAGAGAAAACTCTTGGGTAGGGAGACAGAGCCAGTTTGAAAACTCCATTTCATCCAGAGAAAAGCAAGGCAAACACAAACAGAACGAATCTAGACAACAGCAAAGGGTGGGGAGAGGGGTTATCTTCCTTGCACTAGTTCTCGCCTCACATCCTGAGGTCTGGAGTCCTTCACATCCCCAGTGACCAAAGCCCTGCCCAGGTTTGGCTCATGGCCGAGGTGCCCTCCATTGCCCTGGCTTGAACCATGCAGGCTCTGACTCACCCCCCCCCCGCAACCCCCGCCCCCCAGCACCCACCGTTCTCAGATGCGCTGGGACCTTCACAGTCCGAGATTAACTGCTGGGGTCTCCTCTGCTTTCGCCGAGACATTCCCGAGTAGGAGAGGGAAGGCACCGCACCGCACCTCACCTCACCGCACCGCGCCGCGCCTCACTGCACCGCACCGCGCACTGAGTTTTAACGGGGCGACCTGTTCTGATCACCCGGCCTGGTCTGAGATCAACGGCTGTCTGTCCCCCAGTGCAAACCACTGTGATGCAGAGGAATTCTCCCCTTCCCAGAGACAGGCTAACTAGTGTGGCTCCTTCCCGACTCCTTTTCTCCCTCAATCTCTCAAGTCTTTAAAAAGAGAGACGCCCCCTTTTTTCCCCCCTTCAGCTTCTTCCCAACGCTCCTGCAGCTCCTATTGTAAAAGCAAAAATCCTAATCTTTCCGCACACTCTTTTCTTTTGTACTGCAGAGGAAGGGATTTAACCCTCTCCTCCCTGCCAGGACTCTGCCGGCCTCACAGGGACTGCCCCTGGCTTGTTTTTCTAACTTTTTCCCCAAGATCTTTCGTAGGGCTTTTTGATTTTTTCATAGTTGTGTCCCTGTGTTTGACGATGCTTAGCTTCTGGGTTAGAAGCTTCAACACAAACTTTTTCATATACGTTGTTTTTTTTGAGGCCAAGAAGTCAGCTACTGCTAGGTGAAAGCGGGAACAGAGAAGATTAAGTAGACTGAGTAAAGTGAGAGACGGTATGATTGTGGAGACACAGCTTTGATAATTTATACGGATCTTCATTCAGATGCTGTATTTTAGTATCACGACTCTTGAGATTGGCTCAGCAGGCTTTTGTTAATTAAGAAGTTAGTATTGTGTACGTGTGCATGATCCTACGGTCATTCCCGATGTGACGATGTGACGTGAATGTGAAGTCAAAGAACTTTGTGGAGCCAGTTTTCTCCTTACCTGGATGTGGGTTTGGGGGATCCAGCTCAGCTTGCTAATCTTGACCAGCAAGGACTGAGCCGTTGTGTCAGCCCACCAAAGGTCTCCCCCAGCCTACACACTCACTGTGTAGACAGGCTGGCCTCAAATTCACATGGATTTGCCTGCCTCTGTCTCCCAACTGCTAGAATTCAAGGTGTTTGCCACCACATACAACACCCACAGTAGGTTTTATAATACTATTATGTACAGGGATCCTGGTTACAAATAAACCAGAAGGTGCATGTAGGTTAGGTGACCTGCCCAAGACTACTCGAGAAACCCGGGGCATATTTTATGGTGGCAGGGACGAAGTGTACCACGAGACAGCTAGTATGAAGGGGTGTGTGTGGGGGGGACCAATACCTCTTAAGGGATTTTATTTAAAATAGCAAACACTGCAGGCGGCTGTCTCTCCAGGTCCTGTCCAGTCTCTCAGTGGAAGGAATACCTGTGAGAAGACGGCAGATGATTTCCTCTGCACTTCAGAATAGAGGCTGTGAGAAGGCTATAGTGGATCTGTGAGTTCTGTATAGTGTGTTCACAGGTGGAAAATAACTGTCAAGGATTCTTACGGGTGTCAAATTAGACCTCTAGTAATTTGGCAAAGCGGGCTGTGCTGCAGTTTACCAGCAGAGCATTTGCCTAGCATCGCAGACGCCTCTGGTTTAATCCCCATCACCAAGGGATGGAGGGGGGGCACGACAAAAAAGGAATTCCTCTAGCTGGGCCTACCTGCATTCCTAACACTCAGGAAGCTGAGACAGGAGAATCATAGGTTTAAGGCCAGCACCAGCTGTATGTGGAGTTGCTTAGTCAGAAAAAAAGGGAACACTTTTATTTTTATTTTGTGAGATAGGATTTTACTCTGTAGCCCAGGCTAACCTGGAACTCACTGTGTAGTCCATGCTGGCCTGCAACTCACAGCAGTCTTCCTGCCTCAGCCATTAGAATACTGGGATTATAGGCAGAATCCACCCCATCCTAATTAAATAACAAAAAAAAACAAAAAGAACCCAGCAACAGCCGTAAGTCTCCGGCCATCTAAGATACTGTTCTTTAACTTCTAGTTATGATGCCGTACCAGAGGGAGTGATCTCGAGTGGAGACTATCCCAGCCACGTCCTATCTTCTAGTCCTAATACCTGAATTCTCTTCTTTTAACCGTGTATAAGCATCATTTCTTAGTGATGCAAAGCTCTGTGGTCAGGGTCTTAAGCAAGCCCTGGGGCTAGTTTGGCAAAAATTGAAAAAAAAAAAAAAAAAAAAAAAAGAACGAAGCCTACTGGTGATAAGAGGGATGCGGGAGACTTTTGCCACCTGAGGAGAGGTTGTTCGGGGGTTCCCAGATGTTCAGTGTCAGGAACCTGAGTGGCTCTCCCACCCTCTGTTTTTGAAAGTCCCGCTCCTCACGTTTTACCACACAGTTTAGGGGTTGCCCATCATCACTCGACCACAGTGGTTAGACGAGATGGAGACATCCCAAGGCAGGAAAGATTCTGGTTTTTCAACCAAAGGGACTGTGTCCTGTTACCCTCTTCCCATTGTTTATTTCCTTTGTGAGGAAGAGAAAGAGAAGCAGGAACATAGCATTCGGCTTCCTCAGATATCTGTGTAACTCCTAAGGGGTGTACTTGGGGACCCACATTTGTCTTGTCTTTTTTTTTTTTTTTTTCCCCGAGTCTTGACCATCTTCGTCTTTTCGTATTTTCCCTCTTCTTGCTGGCCTTATTATGAAAGGAAAGGCTCTTTCCCCTCCTCTCCATTCTTCCACCTCCTCCTATTTTCCACATTTTTTTTTTCTTTTTACCTCTCCTTTGTGGCCTCTTGACCTCCCTACGGAGTTACAAAAGTAGAATCCTTGAAGAGATGCTGCTGTGGGAATGTTAATGAGCCTTCCCCACAAAGGGGCAAAGACTTTACTTCACTGAGTTGGAAAAAAAGCCCCTTTCAAAAGGGATTTCTGTGTGTGGTGAAGTGGAGAGGGGAGGGGAAGGAGAAAGAGGGAGGGAGAAGGGAAGAAAGGACAGGAGAGAAAGAGAATGAAAGGAGAGACAGAAACGCAAAAGGAAGAGACCCCGTGACGAGAAAATCTGAGAGTAGCAATCTTTCTCCCTTCAAGCTGTGATCTAATTCTTGGAAAATGTAACTACGGACTTAGGTATCAAGACCCTGAGGAGGCACTCAAGGGCGCTGGAGATGATACACATTAGGAAAAAGGGACTTCTTCCCTTCAGCATCTCTGTTCTGTTCCTCCCGGGAGCCCGAGGATTGGGGGGCGGGGAGAGTGTTCTAGATGGAGAAGCTGCTGGTTTTGAGATGCTTTACCATGTTTTCTAATATCGATCAGCATTTCCAGTTCTGGTTTTCTTATTGCCCGTTGGTCTAATGAATTCTAGGCATGACCTATGGTGTTGTTAAGGTCCTTAGTTCACAAAATTAGAGCACTTGAGCACAAGCCAGTTTCCTCATTTGTGTACAGATTTGGCTTTGCTAAACTGTGCATTAAAGGGCTAGGAAAAGAGTTCATGAGGTAAAACGTACTGTTATGAAAGCCTAATGACCTGAGCTCAGTCTCTGGGACCCAGGCATGCTGTGGCACCCATCCACACTCACACACGTATCATACATACATACATACACATTCACAAACAGAAACACACATCATACACACCAACACATATACATCAACACACACATCATATATACATGCATCAGACACACACACATAAGTAATAATAACAAAGCGTCTGGGTCCTTCTTTGTGAAGCCTTGTGCCTATTTGTTACTTCTTCTGAAATTACATAGACTACACAAACAAAATCCCCTGCTGCTTCCTGGCAGCTAGGCGCTCCTGCCTGCTGGTCTTGCCTTCTCTAGGCTGCTCTGAACACCAAGAACCTAGATCATGGTTTCTAGACAACTCTACGTTTCCTAGAATCCCAGAATCTCTTTATGCCTCCTCGTTCTTCTCTTTTTATTTTTCAAGACAGGGTTTCTCTGTCCGTCCTGGAACTCACTCTGCAGGCCAGGCTGGCCTCAAACTCACAGAGATCCACCTGCCTCTGCCTCCTGAGTGCTGGCATTATAGTTGTGCCACCACAGTCTGGTGAGAATACTCTTGATGATATCTACTTCCTAGTTATCAACACCTTAACTGCAAATCTTTTTAAGATGCCCTTGGTAGAGTACATTCATTCACACTCACCAGTTGATCAGATAGGTTCATTAGCATATATCACTCATGTTTACATCTGTATTTATATCACTTATATCATAATGGGTTTCATCATGGTATTTTGCACATCTATATAATATATTTTGGTTATATTTTACACCTTGCCCTAGTCAGGGTTTTCTGGAGAAACAGCTGATAGCATGAATTTTTGTGCATAAAGATGGGAGGCATTAGAGTGGCTTACAGCCTGTGGTCTGTCTAGTCCAACAATGACTGCCCGTTAAGTCCAAGGACTCAGTTGTTTGGTCCACGAGGCTGGATGTCTCAGACGGTCTTTAACCCTGAGGAAGTAGGCTCTAGTATCAGTGAAGAAATGGACCTGCCAGTGAGGGTGAGGGCAAGCGGGCAGAGACCAGCAGTCCTTTCCCTGTCCTTCACCGAAAGTGTGGCAGAAGGTGTGGCCCAGATTTAAGATGGGTCTTTCTCCCTTAGAAGACACAGATTTAGGGTTGCTCTGCCCACTTCAAATAACCCAACCAAGAAAAATCCGTCACTTTGTACCCTGCTCCTTGTGTTTTAGTTAAATCCAGATGTGGTCGTTCACCGCCAAGAGTGGTCATCACACAGCCCCTACCCTTTCTTGTGCCCTCCCCTTCCTGCTTCCCCTTCCTTTTCCAACTAGTCCTATCTCCGTGTGTGTGTGAGTGTATGTGTATGTTTGCGCACCCGTGTGTGTGTGTGTGTGTGTGTGTGTGTGTGTGTGTGCATGCATGTGTGAATGTATGTATGGGCACACATTCATTCATGAATGTGGGTACCTGTGCATGCATATATGAGTATGGATACATGTGTTGTATCCATGGGGTTGTGTGTGTGTGAGAGACTGTGTGTCCCAGTGAGTTTAATTAGGGTTGCTTAGGGAGCATGGGTAAGAGTTTTTGTTTTGGTGGTGGTCACTAGTGAATACATAGCAGAACAAAACAGATTTTTTTCTTATTGACTTTTAGATAGGTTTTTTTCTTCTTTTTCTTCTTTTCTTTTTTGAAACAGAGTTTCAGGCTGTCCTGAAACTAGCTTTGTAGACCAGTCTGGCCTTGAACTCACAGAACTCTGCCTGCCTCTGCCCCCTGAGTGAGATTAAAGGCACGCACCGCCAC